TACAGCCCCTCTGAAATTTATGAAAGGTGTAAAAATGTCCTTTTTTCTGCCAAATGAGCAAGGTAGCAGATAATGAGCTGTTTCAAATTTTCATGTGAAACAGTAATCCAAATCTCCATCAAAATAAAATTGGGTACCTTGTCAGGTGGAGAGAAGAGATAAGCTACCACAACAACTCATCAAGAAATTGTCCTGCAAATCTGAATGTGGACTTGGTGGGTTTGTAAGTCTCAGCTAGACATAACTGGCTACACATGCTGTGAAACGGTGATTATATGAGTGGAAAATGGCAGAGAATGGTTATTTCGTGACTTACTGTTGCAGGCATAAGGTTGCATTCACTGCGATGGCTTCATTGAACATAAATTTTGCGGGTCAAAAACCATATGATAGTGTTATGGTGAAATACGAAAAGGTCATCCTAAGCTAAATGACCTTTTAAAAGAAATTAAGGACTAGTAAGCATATTAGACTAAGTGTATAGATATGATTTAAACTTGAAAATTAAGGAAATAACAGAATAAAGATCTAAAACTTCTGTAAGTTAATCACCTGAAGCCAAAAAACATTCATAACTCTTTATTAGGGATTGAAAAGGACTGAGAAAACGGCTTGCCACTCTGATAGCACAAAGAAGCAGAGGCAAAAGTGGTACTAAAATTATCCATGAAATCAACCGTAAGAATCCCTGACTCTCTTTCCATGTGTGCAACTGCTTCAGTAAGAAAGGAAAAAGATGTTTGGAAAGCTATATCCTCTTAGTGAGCATGAAACAGAACTTCTCCGGGCTCCTGCTGGACAGCTGGTAGGTGTACACAGAGCTGTTTGTCCTGCCGTGTTTCTGTGCCGGCATAACGACGTACTGCAGCAGGAGGTGATGCTCCCACAATTTATATGACTTGTGTGCACTTTTATACTCCCTCACACTTACAGTATTATGATATGGAGACTAATTACAAAGACAAATGGTAAAGAGGCACATTTGCCTCCAAACTCAGGCATTTTCAGACCCATACCAAATATATTACATGCTAATTTTTAAAGGTTAACTAGTGAAAGTTGTTCGTGTGAAACCACTTGTACCCTATTTTTAAGTTAACTCATCTCTGTTCCGGTGTGTCTCAAAAAGGTCATCCACCTACTACAGCATGATAAAAGAGGGAAGTATATTTGGCTGCCAAAAACCACACTTTGGGAAGATCTCCCATATTCACTGAAAATAATGAGCTGAAGTTAGAGGAAAAACCCACAACTATACATGGATAAGAGAAGGAAAAGTAGTGAGTGACAAAAGCTGAAAATATGTGACCGGCTTAAAATACCCAATGAAAAATTAGATTTCTTCACCAGCATAGCCAATAACTTCATTTACATTCATTCTTATCAGCACAGAGTTCAACCTCCTGGTAAAAGTGATACTCAGATACTCCTAACAAGGTTCTGGTGTCAGCAGATTAAATTTGGATTAGAGATTACTAAGATTCACTACACTTACGCCAGTGTGTGTAAATAGATATAGTTTTAGTAGATACGGTTTTACTGGCTTCAGCATTCCCAAGCTGATTTGCAGATACTGAGATCTGTCTATGAGAGTTTAGCGTACTTGTAGTTACTAAGATGGATGAGAAAAACTGAAATACAGGGTGATAAAAATGATGATAATTAAACAGATAAAAAATGAATAGCTGGATAGCATGATACGGATAGTCAAGGAGAAGCCAGCCAGCTCTCACTGTATTTTATGATTGTCAGAGCTCTGCATGAGAGCACATGACTGATGGGTGATATTATCAAGGAGAGTGGAATATGTCCTGTTTTAACCTTTTATTTGTTTAACCTTTCCTGCATAGGTGAGATTGTGCAGCTGAATTCTTATTACTTGGAAGAGACTGTATTTTTTTTCTTTTGTATCAGGGATGATCAAAGCGTAGCAAAGTCTTTGTGTAAGTAGCTGTTAAAATGGACCTGTAATTACAAAAGAAGCGTATCCATCCTCAAGTTCTATTTCCTGTCATTTCTGCAGGGCTGCCTATTTTCCTATAACACTAAAAGGAAAAGAGATTAAAACCATAGAATTTAGAAAAAATTACCTGTTCTAAAAACATGGAAAAGGTAGATAAATAGAAAACACTGGTATCCAGAATGACTGTTTTGTGGTTTGAATGTATCTCAAGGTTAAACAGCAGTGCTATGTATTTCAAAGAACAGGACCGTTTTAACTCTCAAGTGCATAACCGTAGCAGTAAATAGGGCACGCATCAGTTCAGTATTATTATATTCAGGGCAGGCATAAGCATCTTATCTCAGCACAAGATATTCACACATGTGAAGTTCCTAGTAAGACTCCTTTAAACTTCAGGGTTTTCCAATGTAAAGGTGCTGGACAATCAAAAAATAATTGCACAGACAAGTACACTTGACAGCTATTAGGCCATTTATTTAGTAATGCCTGGACTAAAATGGAGTTCACCTGCATTAGTCATAGTTCTGCTGTGCCCAAGTATGTGTAAGCACTAGTCATGGCCAGTAAAGAGCACCAAGGCCATGGTCTTCAGCATCTGATGTTACTGAGGTCTTCAGCAATCGGAGTCCATCTCATTTTAGCTAACAGAGATCGAAGAATTTCCCATCAAATCCATTTCTTCCTATCAAATAAAAAATAACTTCTCGTTGAGATAACCTCATACCTGAGAACAAAGCATAGGCACCTCTAGGCGTGTAAAGTTAATCTCAAACCAGGCTGAAACATTATTTCAAGGTAGAAAGAACTGACCTGCCAGGACTAACATAGAGGTTTCCACCTTCAATCTGATCATCGGAGTGATTTCAATTCGGCTGGTTAGTTCCTCGTTTGCCTGTGCATGCCAACCACTCCCAGCAAGACGACTGGGTAGCCTTCGTGGGACTCCAGAGAGAAGCCACCTAAGAAACTCCGTCAGCTCATAACACAAAAAATCATGTATGGTCCTGATCTATTGTGGTGGTAACAAAATCTACATATGCCAATCAACAAGCCAAAGTAAACTGCTAACACATTGTCTGCTGTCATTACTCCATATTCCAAAATTATTTCACATTGTTACCTTCATAAAGACATCATTAATCCCTTCTCAGCTGCCAAAAAATCCCTTCTGGACAAGTTGCTGTTATATTGGCATATAGAATGTTGTAAGGGTGGTAGAGTGAAATATGTAAAATATAATTCTAAATACTAATGTAATGATTGGATTATTTGTTTACCTCTATTACTTAATTTAAATGATGCTGACTGGGAGCTGGAGTTCCATAATTTCAGTTATAGAAAATTATGTATGCACTCTTTTCTTTGAGCCCTTGCTGCCAAATAAAGTGCTGTTATTTAATGGCATCTGCAGAACAAGCACGGGCTGGAATTGTCTAAGAAATTTAAGAATACAACTATTTATTATGCAAGGCTTCATGATTATGTTATTCATTTGGCAATCTTTTGCCTTTTATGTGTTTACAGGATTTGTTGACAGGAAAAAAGATTTAATACAGATAGCACGTGGTATTTTTACAGTACGTTTTCTACTTGCACTTTATTTTTCCTCAGTTTTGAGTGATACTTGGATGAATGTCTTTTCCAAGAATCATATCAAATAGGCAAAAAGTGTAATAGCAATTAAAATGTTTTAAACAGAACCGTACTTGGAAGTGTATGCCACGATTTTTCTACCAAGCATATTGAGATATTTATTTAGCTACAGACTTTTGACTGGCTAAAATCAAACAGCTGGCCCTTCATTTGGTATAATTAAGGTCACAGCATTGAAGCTAACGGAGGAAAGTTGATTTTCACCAGCTGATACTTTGTCCAGTGTTTATTTACTTCATTCTTTCCTAGATCTGACCTGCATCTTTCCTGAACCTCAATCCTATCCTGCTGTATAATTTTGTTTCTTAAAAGCCAATAATAAAGCACAAATCCTGCTCCCATAGAGAAGTAAGGCCAGAAAAGCAGCAGCAGCTGCAGTGACAAGAGGAGCAGACCATGCAGAGGAATACAAAATCCCTTGCAAGTCACAGAAAACTGTGGCACGAGGCGTGCACGAGCACAAAAGGCACTTACAGGCAGGCCAAAAATCAAGAAAAAAGATGGTATCAGTGAATTTGTGAACTATGCACATGCCAGTGACCAAGCCTCTCCTCTCATACACGATACGACTGGCTGTGTCCCAAGAAAAGCTTTGTTTCAAGTCCTTCTCCCCGGTTAGAGAAGGGTGTGCCATGCCACAGTGCTGCAGTGGTCCGTACCCCATGCCCTTTTCGTTAGGTTTACTTCACGGAGTAAAAACGCAGCCTTAAAAAGCCAGAGGAGAAAACCACTCCTGGTATGAAATTCAGGAATTGCAAGACATCCTTAAATATAAACAGCCCAAGCAGGAAAGCTAAGGTGGGTTATTTGCTTCAGGTTTTTTCCCCAAATATTATGGTGCTTGTCAAAAGGTGGACTTTCAGGGAAAGGGGGATTGAAATTTTGTCAAAATTTTAATGATATTCAACAGAAGTAGTCACCTCTCAGCTTTCCTCCTATATAAGAATAAAACATAGAGTGTCAAAACTTTTTTGAATTGCAAAAATATACCAATTTTATACTTTACTAACAACATTTTTCAGTTTTTCATTCAAAACAACGCTTCTCCTTTATAAGAATCTCTTTTTTTCTCTCTTTTTTTCTTTTTCTAATTTTAAAGAAAACAGATTTACAAAGGATTAAATAACCCAACAAGCAAAAAAAATTCATTCCAGGTTAACTCAAAACATCCTTCTACATTCTTCCTGCCTCACCCCCCCCCAACCTGGGGCTTATTCTAGTTCACCTTGAATTCTGTGTCTGTTTTTTCGCCAAACTGAACCTCCCTCCACTATTCATCCAGCTCCACTAACAGAAAGGCCTCGTGCAGAGAAATATGCATGAAGAGATGGGCTACGTAACTCTCACTACAACTACAGCCAGGCTGACAGAAGCAGAGCTCATGGATGCCGCGGGCTGCCCGGCTGAGGTCTATCGCTGCTGCCGCCACTGCCGAGCCCTCTGCCTGAGCCGCCGGATGGACAGGCTCATCGGCTGCTTCCCAAACTTCTTCATGATCTCCTTGATTCTCGCCAGGTTGGTTTTGGAGATGGTGAAGTCGCACTGGGTCGCTCCCATGTCGTAACCGACTTCGCAGGTCTTGGTGGCGGCGGTGTAGCCCTCCGCCTTCACGCCCACCACGTATTCCCCCGGGTTGAGGAGACGCCAGTAATCCCCATCGGCTCCTGGTAGGAAAAGAGACGGTTTTCAGGACAGCGGCCCTTTCTCCTTGAGGAACACGTTGTGTATGAGAATATGGAAATGCCTGCACGTGGATAAGGTGACACCCGAAGCAGCAACCCTGCATCCTCAGACCAGGAGGGTGTCAATGAGGCTGCCCTCATCACACATACCCCTCCTTGTCCTGCCAACCCTACAAGAAAACTTATTTTCCAAACAATAAAAAAAGGACAACGGGCTTCAGTCTGACCTAAGATTTTTGTCAGTTGAAGATCCTGAGGCAAAGGGCCACCTTGTAATGGTTGGTGATTCCTGAGGGGTATAAAAGACCTTCCCCAAACTAATTTGAACTAACCAACCAAGAGAAGCTCCAGTGGGGTACTGCCATCGCACTCACGATCCTGGCCAGATCGCCTGGACACTTGTTTTGGTGCTATTCAGTACACAAAGCGTGTGAATGCACAAAGTCAACTCACTTAGAGACCTAAGTAAATATCCCCTTCTATAAAATCTTACACTGAGTTTTATTATGCTAATTTTCCTGCAAACTCATCAGGGTACTTAGCCACTTGCTTACCTGTAAATGCATGAACAGAGCTTCAGTAATCAACTAAACTACTCATGCACAAATCAAGATGCATTTTAACATCTCGTTGAATCAGGACTTTCTGCTTTCTTCTTTTTTTTTTTTCCCCTGTAAATGATCTCGGATTACCCGTACATACATAAGGATGGTTTCAGACAACTTCTTAAATATTATTTTAACTAGCAAGTATGCTTAGCTGCGGACTGAAAAAGGTGAAACACTAATATCTACAATTAGTTTTGCTCTGTCCTGGGAAAACCCATTGTGGAATGGAAGTGCATATTCAAATATGCAATTCTATATATAAATAGAAATGCAACGTCTCTTGTATGAAGAGGGCTTGGCTTTTTTTTGGCACTGATGAGAACCGACAACCTTATTATCACCAGCCTTGGGTCGCTTGCAATGCAGTGTGTTGCAAAAACTAAAGATGATTTACCTAAAAATATTATATTTGGGAAAAGATCAGACTAGCTAACCTCTGCTTAAAGAAATGGGAGTTTAATTTAGGGGTTGGTAAAATAAAAAAACAAGTTTGCAAACAGCAAGTGTTAGCAAAATAGCTATATCAGGTATACCCTCGTATTGTAGTCTGAATGCAAGTGTAAAATTTTTTGCAAGAAGCCCACCCGATCATCTCAGTTCTTGCATACCAGCTTGCTCAGGTTTTTCTTTCAGCAATTTTGACCCCAGCTGGGGTGATGATCAAGGTCCAGATTTTCTACTTTTCATGACTCGGGCATTTTTAGGAAGGACTCTTTGAGAAGCTCTTTATTCAGTTCTCCCTTACTATTGGGTCTGTTGGCAGCTTAGCCAAAACACAACACATAAAGCTGCCCAGGTTTCTTGAATTTATCCCCAAGGGCTCATTTTTAGCTGTAAATGCTCTGGTGATGCTACAGGACTGGCAAAAGGCTACGGATCACCCTGTGCGTGGCTGTGAATGCATCCTTGCTTACAGGTTGGCTTTAGCCCCTGGACTTCAAAACTGACCCACATTTTTCTGACACATTTAACAGGGACTTCATCACAACCCTGCACACAAAGCCAGAAAAAAATCTACACATTCACACACCACCGGGAAATTATTACAAAGCTGGATATTAAACTGTTAGCAGGATGCACTTTACCTCCTTTCCATTTACAAGTAAGTAGACATTAGTATTTCTGTCAGCTGTCATCACCCAGAATTTAATACCAGACTAAAAGAGTTTGTTGGGTTTTTTTTTGAAAATCAGATTAAATGTAGTAGGTAAAAAATTTCAGAGCAGATGGCAAGAGAAATACAATTAGACATACAGATAAATTTAGTAAATAATAGGCTTGCTAAAAGAATAGGCTCCAGTGGGAGCAGGCTGGAGGCAGACTACATCTATCTCCTCCTATTGGGTCTGGAAAAGAATTGCCATGCCTGCCTAGATAAAACAGCAATGCATAAAAATATGAAGACTATTATTATAAATTAAATGTGTCACGTGACTCTATAAACACTTCAATTAAGAGGAACACTCTTTAAGCCTGATACGTTCCTTGTTACAATTAAGTGTCATATTTATACTTAAATGTACCAAATTTAAATACATTATAAAAATCTAATTACCTACAAAAGACTCTCCAGGAAAGAGCACTAGCCATAGTGCTGCACACCCAATGCATGAAACAACTAAAACTCAACTATTTACTAAACAGGCAGCCAAGAATGAGGCTGCAAAGTTATAATACCAGAATTATGCTTAGCTTACATTACATTAACGTTATTAAATATTACTAAACGCTCCTTCAAAATCTTTGGGTTTCATTACATAATGTGTGCTGAAATCATATGAAACTCAGCAAAATATTCAAAAAATGTCTCTGAACATTGTGTGAAATTAAATTAATTATGCTTTATTGCAAAAATCACACTAAATATGCATTGTTCTTTGGAGTCTGGTACAGGCTGTGATATGGAGGAGTTTCACCAGAAGGAAACTCTACATTTCTTCTTCAAGATTTGCTTTGAGATTTCCAAAATGTGTAATTACAGGAAGCAACCCACAAACTGCCTTTGCATACAAAGATGTCCATGTGCATTTGGTCATCCAACTCTTTTTCTGTCATAGACCACAGCCCGCATCTAACTGTAACAACGCGTAATCACTCAGACTTGGTCAATAGTTACATATGCATGAAGAAAAAATGGAATAATTTTCCAGAAAGAATCAATGACTTCAGTTAGCCTATTAATATTGTTAGCTTAGTGTCAGCAACACTCTCTTCCCATAAGATATATTGTACATCCAAAAGAAAGTTAAAAAAAATGTGCTTTCCATATACTCTTTTTTGTCCACAGGAAGAAGCAGAGAAATTTTCTCAAACAAGTAAATGTTATTAGAGGCCCTCTACAGACAACTTTTGTCTGGCTCTACAGGGTACTCAACCACATTAATGTATCAAAGAAACAGTAGATACCTTACAGCTTAACTCATTTTAAACAAAACTTATGAACAGAGATAGTGGCCATAATTCTTCTCCTGCTTGTCCTATTTTTATATCAAGGCAACTCAGAGGTTTAAATAGATTCATTTTTCATTTTAAAAGGTATTACTAAAAGAAGACTGCTGACAATTTGCCTTCTTTTTCCGGAGTTATACATGTCATTTTAGCTTTTGGGCTCCAACATAAATTCTCCAGTTTCAAAGACTAATGAGACATACATTGTTACCTGTGTAATATAAAACAAGATAGAACTTTTATGTTCCCATCTACAAAATGACTCCCAAACAGAGTGTCAGCTTAAACATCTCATTAAAAGAAAAGAATTAAAAAGAATGAAATAAGTACTTTTAGTTTTACTAACAATCTCAGATGGCCTTGAGCCACAGAAGCTCAGCTCTAAGTCTAGACGTAAATAGCTGCAAGTTTCCCCGAGCGTTACACGGTGGATTCCGTGATCCTGCACCATTATTAACGTGCCACCACGACTCCTCTCCGTGTGCATGTTTGCTGTGTTTAAGCTGCTGATTTTTTTCTTTCATGTGGCAATCCAGTGTCCCGAGAGCTGGAGATTAATCACCTATTGCATTTGCTCAGCCTCAATCAGAGCAATACATTAATTCTGTTAACAGAGAAATACAAACTACAGTTTATGGGAGTCTTTCAAGACTGCCAAGACTTCAAAGACAAGGAAAAACAACTGATTACTTTAATTCCTCCTATCATTTCCCAGTGGTCCCATTTTGAAATATTGAAGGCAGAATCATTATTGCCTAATTAAATACCTGTCTTTAGATGTTTTCTTTTACAATACAGACACAGTAGCACTGAAATAAAATTAATGTAAACTAAGTTAGATATTCCAAGATTTATTATTGGCTCAGATAATCTACTGTAGCAAACATTCAAGATTTGGAAGTCTCTTATTCATAGCTCTCTGATATTCCATAGCCTGAAATCTGTTTACATGTCAAAGTGTGCCACAGCTTACCTTAGTGGCAAAGTAAGTGAAAGTGGCAGCTAATGAAAGACCCAGAATGCCAGTCGGGATGTAAAAAATACACAAAGTTAATGTTCCTGTTTCTAATATCGAACCAAACCTAGAGTACACAGCAATGTGATTTGTCTGATTATTCATCATGATGCTACTTTTCCATAAACATCCAACAGAAACCTTAAGCTCTTGCAACCAGCACTTTGAGCACAATCACTAAAGACTCCTGCTGACGTCTTGTTTTGCCATTTCTTTCCGCATATCCTCTCCATTGTTTCTCTATTTAAGATGACTGTGTGCCTTAAATCACAGTACAGTACCTACACAAACACAACGGCCATTGGACACTGTCCCGGCCACGACCTGCCAACAATTTTCATTAATCTTGCAATTGCTAGTGTTTATTTAAAGCAGTTCTTTATTTAGTGCCGTAACTACTTTCCAGGACATTAGATAGGCTCAGAGTTTACTCTGAATATACATATCCGTGTCTGGGTAGCATCAAGACCGTGCTAACAAGGCAAATAGCCATTTGTGTGGGTTTTTTAAAACTATACATATCGAAAAGTAATTGCCTGGGCTGAAATTCACCCCCACAAAGCAGCGTCTCTACTGAGCCCCAGCAAACAATCTTTCATAAAGCTGTGATGTTGTGCAGGAGGCTCTTCAGGTTGTGAAACTCCCCCTTCCCTGCAACAGCTGTTCCTGCTCTGGACACCGTCTAAATCGCATCTCCAACAGATTCACAGTCCTGTAACTGTTAACAGCCAGAGAAACACTCTTCGCCCACCAAGGCATTACCTACGCCCTTGTTTTTCAGCGCTGTAACTATTCTGGGTTAGATTTGCACTACCTTGCCATGAGAAAAGGAGCAATAAGAGTCCTTAAGCCACAGCCTTACTCAGGCTATTGATTTTGGGCAGATAAAAGGCTATTTGCTCAATACTTTAAAAGTGGTGGAAAGAGGCAAAGGAGCAGAGAGGAAAGCCATGGAAAGCCATAGTTCTGTTCTTGACTACGCAGCTGCACCATGGCAAGAAGTGACTCCCTCCTCGTGTGCCGCTCCTTCTGCAACACTCTCCTTGGGCTGTATGCGATCCGCTGGCTTTTCTCAGAAAAGAGTTCAAAGTTGCAATGAGATCCCGTATTTTGTTTTTAAACCACAAATCTGTTCATTTGCACTGATGTGTTTGGGGTTTTTTTACCTGTACGAATGTCATGGTTAACACCTTCTACTGAAATAACAGCATTTGGGATTCCCTTTCCATGCACATCTTTTACAATGCCTTTGATGCCTCGATGGACCTATTGAGAGAATAAATAAACAAATATATATTGCACAGCAATGAACAGTACTATCATTAGGAAGATACAACAAATCATTAATTCCATATGTGAATTAAGTATATTCTGTTCCTACTTTATAGTTCAAGCAATTTTGAAATATCATTATTAACCCCGTATTAGCCTTCCAGCCATTAGCTACTTCTGAACCAGCTTACAAATTCTGTTAGGATTCCCGAGGCATCAAATTCAAGAGACAGATAAACCAAGCAGATAAAACAGCGGACATAAGGGTTTTTTTCTGGCAGTCACTTCTAGCAAGCTCTGCACTCACGTCAAATTTTAACAAGCTTCATTATTTTGTCCTCCTAAATTAAAACAGTCTGGCTGAAGTGATATGCCAGTATTGCTTATAGGTAAGGTTTCTATCACAAATACCAATAATCATTTAATTAGTCATGCAAGAAAAACATCAGAAACCTTAAACTCCCTTTCAGTCTGAAAGGAGTCATTGAGTTATTCAGAAGTTGTTCTTCTGTCGAATACCTGTTCCATAAAAACAATCAGGGACTCGCGGTTGTTTTCCCATTCTTCGGGCAGCTCGCTCTCGTGGGGATACTTGTCACAGCCAACGTAGATGGATAGCTCAAAGCAGTTTGTGTGCAGATAACTGAAGTCATTTATGCCTGTCAATAGGAGAGAAAAAAGAAACAATTCACATCCTCTTTTATTCTGTTCATCAGATCTGAGCAGCGCCCTCCTGCTATCACAAAACTTACAGGAAATAGAGATTTAGCAGAAAATAAACAAAACCAAAACAAAATTAAACTCATTCTGACTAAAGTTTCTATGATATTGATGGAGAAGATAGTGGAACACCAGGAAGATGTTAGGAAAGGTGTCTCTTTACAGCAAAAACTTGTGCTTTGCTTTTCGGAAAGCACTGTGCTGTACTAATCGTGGACACATTCCCTTGGAGCAGCTCTCACTTATATTTGCCCTGGGTAGAAATGGGATGGTCTACGTTAGCTTGCATGAATGTGTGGCCATTAACCGAATTTATACAACCCTAAATGTCAGGATGCACGGTAATCTGCACACAGTGATTGTTAACTAAAAAAGATTTATCAGAACGGTCGATGCAATAGTTTCTCAGTCTAAATGTTTTCCCATGTAAGTAATCTAAATGATAGGAAAGCCAGAAAAATCAAGGCAGTAAAAATTCCTTTAAGTTATATATATGGTGCCTATTACCTTGTAAGGAATGGAAGGATCTATTCTGTTTTCTCCCTGTTGTGGCTTTGCAGAGGCCTGGAATCTGCACCACTGCTCTGCAGTAGGGATTTCCATTAGAAATGTGTCCTAACCAAAACCCAGGAACCCCAGTGCCCCTGTCCTCCAAGGGGCTGCAGTTTAAGTCTATGTTATAGAGAGCGCTGTGACCTTCACAAAGGTCCTGAGCACTAGGAAAGACTGTATTTTGATACAGATCCCAAACATTTCCCTTCTCCAGGTTTCTCTCCCATTTCTCACAATTATTTTCCTTTGGGAAATTCCATTTATTAGTTCTCCACAATCACAAAGAAAACATAACAAAGCACATGAACATTAGAGGAAGAAACGATGGGAGCTTCATTTTTTCATTATCCATCTGCATCTTGAATTAAAACCCCTAATTTAAATATTTATTAATGATCATTAGTTGTTTTATTTTACATAGCAGAGTTTAGCAGGAAATGCATTCACCAAATGCTTCTCTTGAAAAGAGTTAAAAAAAAAAAAACCCTAGTCCTGTCCAATTACCATAGAACAGTAGTCAAGTATTTAACGAGTCCTCAGTGCCTGCTGGATGCAGAGCAGGAGGATTATACAATACAGATGTTCAGCTTTGCACTTCTGTTGATGGGGGAAGCCTAAATATCAGGCAGTGACATACGCTATTCTGCACATAAATGTTTGAGAAACAGCCACAATTATTTTCCCCCTCACATACTGTATCGCATCCTGATTAATCTGTTGTGAAATGTTTCGCAATACACAGTAATTGCTCAGTTTTAATACATGTATTTAAGAAAATGGCTTAATGTTGCCAAGAGAAACTCTCTGTGTAGTGTCTGAAACATGCAAATCCAGACTTGAAAACACTGGAAATAAAATGAAAGTCATCTGTTCTTTGCCTTTGTGCAGTTCACTCAGTGCAGGAACGTTATATGTAAAATTGCTGAGGAACTTGCATTCATTGCAATCCAAAATATGTGCAGGAAATAGTATGTCTGGGTTTCAAAGGCATACAGAGGTGTTTGATATCTGTGGTGCACGTACTTCTCTAGGGACTCTCTGGTGCTGAACAGGAATTAGAAAAATCCCTTCTAAATTTTCCCATGGCACGAGCAGTGAGAAGTTTATACGCATGATCACTGCAAGGCCAGGCAGCTGGGGGAAGAAGAGAGAGAGGGTGGGCAGCTTCAAGTCATGCTACAGCCAGGACATGCCACCCACACCAAAGGACAGAGGTGGGGCAGCTTTCTGCAAGCAATGTATTGGTGTGTCGCCTTCAAGTCAGGCATTAAGCAAGCAGGGGCTTAAGAGAAAGTGCTACGTGTTGATCTAAAAGGTAAAGAAATGGAAAAAGTGGAGAGAGCTGTACAGCTACATCTGTACAGTCACGGAATCAGAGAGTGAAAAAATACGGGAGAAATTTGTCTTCAAATCTGGAATCATATTTGGAGAACCCTTCACGGTGCAAGGTGCTGTTGGTTAACTATCACCTGTAATACATATAAACGCATGCATAAACATATCTGCAATACAAATCACTTCCTTCCATTTGTCTAAGTAGAGAAGAGGGCTAAAACCATCCTGCACATTGCAGGCTGAGCTCCGATGCAAACCACATCCTTGGAGGTTTAGCCTGGAGTCCAAGGTGTAAAGAATTGAAAGCAATATTCCAGCATTCTTCTCAAAGACAGACTTACTACAATGTAAGAGAGCAGGATGTAAAGTATAATGAGAAACATCATAAAGCAATAAAAGAAATCAGATGAACCAAATCCAATATGCAATTTTTACTAAGAAATCGAGATACTATTCAGTATCTATATTGACATCATTACTTAATGTAACTTAGTGTGACATCTGTTAGTGACATGGCCAATGTCATCTTTTCTGGATCGATTCATAATCATGTTTCTCATAACAGGACAATTAAACACAGATAGTTAAGCAGTCAAGTTAGCATTCAGAGGGTTTTTTTTTAGAATTTGCTGAAATGCATAGAAACGTGTTATCAGGTATTGGCCTTGTGATCTAAGAGTTGAATCTTCCCCCAAAATCCACCCAGCACTTTTTAACCTCCTGAAAAAATATTTGAAAAGAAAAGTTTATTCTTGGCTCTAGCCTTTAAAGGCTGGCCAGCATTAACTTTACACAGGCCAATGTAAAAGCCATAAAAGTTCTGTCCAAAATCCAGAAATGTTTATGCAGTGAAACTACCTGCAAGTTACAAACAAGAGCCAGCTCCAATAAAACGTGGTCTGCACAGATGCTCGCTTGCATCTGTTTGCTATTACTGCTGCAGTTGTTCCTGTTGTCATTAACGTGACGGCAGATGCACGGCTCATTTCTTAATTTCGTAGAATATGTTGTCTCACCTATGTATTTACAAAAAACCCCACCAACATTTGATGAATCAGCGGAGTGCCTATTCTGAGTCTGCTCGAAGTGTACACCCGTAGAGACAACCGTGCCTATTGCTGTTAAAAATGGGCTTCTAATTGGAATTTCTGGAAATCGATGCTTTGTCTGCACTACAGGACACGGCTTCTCCTTCACGCTCCTTGACAGGGTGACAGGCTTGGGCATATGGTGAAAGACGCAATCTGTAATTTATTCTGGCAGCAGAAATGCCTACGGAGCCCATGCAAAGTTTAAGTGTAAGCACGTCCAGGTCTTTTAAAAATAAGGTGGTAGCAGGCAAGCAGTAGCTTTTCAAGGTATGTTTTTACAACTCAAAGTGAATGTGAGTGGGGGCTGATCTGCAACTGCGTTCAGCGAGCAGGAGGTAGAAATCCTGATTTTATCATCTGAGGGCCACTGGACTCTCTCTCCCCAGGCTCCCAGACTGGTTTGGGAGTCGCTGCTTTGGCTCCGACACTGGTTACTTCTGCTGTTTGGCAGTATTTTTCTGTTGGCACCCTCTGAGATGGCAAAGGCTGACAGGCTCCCCCCTGCTAGTGAGTTTGGAATGGTTGGTTTTGTCCTGACAAACCATCCCGCATAAGTAGAATCCATAAAACTAACATATTGCATGTGCACTTTTGGAAACGTCAGCGGTAAACGAAATGGTCACCAAGTCACGCAGTCTCCTTCAACCCTCTGATACCTGATAAAATGCAGTGAACGGACTTTCAGCTGGGGAAATTGTCCTCTTGATGCACTTTTTACCACTTTTGCCTCTGCAATGTACACCAGGCAGTGACGGCATTATCATATTTAACAAGGTCACGTTAACTGTAGGTTCTACAGACACTTACTTCCAGCCACGGTATGCCAGGAGGCTCCGTTAACGGTGCCGTCCTCCTTTTGGAAATCCTCTGTGTGGCACGCTCTCCTTCTCGCATCTGTCATCAGGCGGTGAGTGGAGGCATAGGAATACGCGAGCCAGCGAAAGACGTGGTCGTCTGGGGTAGGTGTGTAATCCTGGGTTTTCCACATCGATCGCACCATATCGTAGGGGTACGCCACCACCAGCTCTCCTCCCTGCAAATTGCCACCCAGCACAAAAGGAATTTTTTCCATCCATGCTATTATTGCCCGTGTCTCAACTGCCACCTGGGAGAAAAAGAAACAGCAGCTTTGATTCAACCTGAGAAATTTAGTAATTTTCTTCCAAAGGTAGACCAAATGCAGGAGTCCTGCTGTGAGTTTCTCAGCATGGAGTGAGTAACCAGCACAAAAGATGTGGCCAAGGAGAAGGGCTTCTTTAAATTACAGTGCTTGCCTGCCATGCTTTGGAGATTACTGACAACCCATAAAAACTTACAAAACCTTAATGTTTGTAATTTATGCAGCAGGAAGATCTTTGAACAGCGAGGCCGAGAGCAGCAACCGACAAAGATGTCAGACCACAACACCGCTCCCCCTGCCATCGGGGGAAAGGAGTTTTCGAAATAAGGGATTTTAGACACAGAAATATTTCTAAAGCCCACAGAACTGCTGCAGTTCAGTGCCTTCCCCTCAAACTAGGGGAACCTCAGCCACTATAAATAGTTGCCATTATATTTAAAAGGCCGTGCAAAAATAAGTTACATTTTTGGCACTGCGATCTTATAAATGGCTTTAACATAAGCCACTGCATCGGTTTTGCATATGCTTCAGTGTTTGCTGTGTTATTTCAAATAAGAACATCAAGAAAACCCCAGGAGAAACTTGTATGGCGACTGAGTTTGCAAAGAGCTCACCTATGCCGCAAAACTAGGGAGAAGCCCGATTCGCAGAACTGAGCTCTGCGGTGGGTTCCTCTTTGTCTGCCTGTTTCTGCCTAAACGTTGGGTATGGAGTCCTCCAGGTTCTTGCAATAGTCCAGGGAAAAGAGGATCCACCGGGAAGCAGTTTCCATCCCAATGGCTGCCTCTGACATATGGCGATAATGGTACTTTTCTGGTGCATTTTTATTTCCACAGACTAACAGGGAAGCCTAGACAAGTAGCTTAGATCAGGTGTGTAACTTCACCCACAAGTTACCAATCTCTTGAGAAATGTAAAGCTCACTCTTTCAGCCTGCCCCAGCCTTTGTGTTCCCCTCCCTCTGGTGTTACTCACGGTGGCGTTTTCGGACAGGTACCAGTCGGGGATTGGGATGTGATGGTTTGGAACTTTTCTTTTACTCTTTTTCTGATCTTCTGACTCCCAGAGCAAAGAGTTTAGATCAGGAAAATTATTGTTGATGTCAATGCCATCCTGAGTCCATCGTCCTAAAGACCAGCCCCCTAATTCTGAACCCTTAGATTTAAAAAAAAAAAAAAAAAAAGAAAAGAAAAGAAAATAAAGATAAATGTTCATGGAGAACACGACAACCTGTGAGCCCTCAGCAAAGTGTTTGGGGATGTGTCAGAGATAATTCTACAGAGAGAAATGGAAGGATGAATTATTTAATTAACTTAAATTAATAATTGGCATTTTTTCATTTTGTATGAAACCTTGAATGAGGTAAAGCAAAACCCATGAAAAATTACTTGGGGTCAGTCAAAGTGTTCCATTTTTGTTTTCAAGGTTTCTATTTAGGACTGATTTTCCCCCGGGTTGCACTAGGGGTGGCATAGATTCCCTTCTACAGCTGTGAATGCAACTTTTGTATTCCAGTCTTCTACAGACTGCCCTGGAAGATTTTCCAGTGCATTTGACGAGCCCCTGAAATTTTTCCTCCTGGTGTCTGTCTTCTTCCAGACTGAATTATTATGACGCCCAACACATTGTGCTCTCCTTAAAGACACACTATTAAATTTCAGTTGCAGAGGAATGCAAATTTTCATGTGCTTAGTTTGGTTTCTCATGAGAAACAGACTGCATGAATTTTCCACTTTCCATAATGGTGTTCCCATTGATCTATACACCTCGGTATGATTTGTTCTGGCAGTCTTTGTGATCCTCTTTTCCACACACATCTTCCTGTTAGCCAATGTCACGTAGAATTCTTTCAGATTTTTTTCTCAGTAAGATGTTTCAGTGGCTTCTGTTTGCTTTGATGTGTTTATTTTTACATTTGTTTATTATGATTGCTTGCAAAATATGACCTTTGAAAAAAAAAATGACAACAGGAACACATTTCATTAATCTAATACAACTAAAATAATTCCTTGGTATGTTCATAATCATATTACCGCTTTATATGCCTTGTCATATCCATCTGGGTTGACCGAGGGCAGGAGGTGGATTCTGGTGTCCTCAATGAGATGTACGATGCGCGGGTTCCCAGCCAGGTATTCCTGACACATGAACTGCATTAACAAAAGGATTAGCTCACGTCCAAGCACTTCGTTCCCGTGAGCTCCTGCAATGTACCGAAATTCTGGTTCACCTGTTGAAAACACGTGGGGCAGAAGTGTAGTCAAAGCAGCAAATCAAACATCTAACCAAATTTCATTTATGTCAATCAGCAGCATTTCACTTAAGGAGAGCTGGAGAAATGCCTTAACTGAACAAATGAGAGGTGAAAATGTAACTTTACAGAAACAAATAATTACTTTCTGTTGCTATTTTAGAAGAACAGTCTTATGTATCAGTGATAACTAAAGACCCTGTATAAACCCTTCAAAACCCATATTCCATTAAACAGATTTTTAATGCTTATGTATCAGTGATAACTAAAGACACTGTGTAAACCCTTCAAAAACCCATATTCCATTAAACAGATTTTTAATTATACTCACAATTTCAGCATGTTACAGGTAGATTTTAAAGGTTTGGATAGTCTAAAAATAACATGAAAAATACATTGCTGGTAGCTCATTGGGACAGATGTTGAGGGTCACGAAAGATAACACTCAGTTACCATACAAAATCGATCTCTGACTTCACACATTCCTTTTCCTTCCCTTATCAAAAAACAGGCTCACATATATTTTTCAGTGTTATGTTGAATGCCACAATACTTGCACTCAACTACAAAACACTTCATACTTTAATAGCACCAGCTATTAAAAAAAGCCCCATAATCGAGTTGTCCTTTGTATGAATAAGACTTGCGAACATCAAGAGGACAGACCCAAACTGGCCAAGGCTTGCGGCTGTGTCCACCCTCCCAGTTTCTCTGGCCCATGATACACTCCTTGCATGTTCTCTGCAGGACTCTCAAAGATAGGTGAGTGGACAAGGCAGATTAGATTAATTATTCTGGTGTTAACATCTAGGACTCAGAGGCTGCGGTCTAAGATCAGCCCCAAGTCTACCGAGACATTACATCTAATGTGCTCCATCCCTTATGGCAAAGCAGAGAGATGTCTTAGGAACATTTCACACTTTTCCTTGGGTGGGATGAATACATATCAAGGTATTTATGGACATGGCAAAGCACAAGACACCTTTATTCCAACAACTGCCCCAGGCACTATCATGCTGAGATCTTTATTCTTCTCCACAGAAGGACCAAAGACTGAATGAGTTTCTATTCTGAAGAATTATATCACCATAGAAAATTGTACCCCCGCACTCACCAGTGAAAGACAATTTGGGAGATTTGACCTGTCCTTGCTTGCAATGCATTCACCCCACAGAAAAATGGTAGATTTCTATCCAAAGCTACATAAATCCCCAGAACTAAAATCCATTCCCCAGTACTAAAATTCACTTCTATTTTGTTATTGTAAAGAATAAAACTCATTATCATTAAAGAATTTGCTCCCATATTCAAAATGCCTTCTATTTGTGCTCTCCCTCCTCTTCCCAATTTAGAAATATAGCGCTGAAGTTCCTCCCACATACATTTGAAATCTTTGTTGCTGTGAATATAATTCCATCAGTGATAATTACTGCAGATACAGAGAATGAAGATTAAAAAAAAGCCAAATCCCAACACCCTTCAACAGATTTAGTTAGACTAAATCCTAACCAACTTCATGTTCTCCTGGGTTGTCAGAAATCTCGACAGCATACAGCTTTAGTCCTTGGTTGCTTTTTCCAATATTGTAAATTCTTGTGATATTCGGGCACATTTTATTCACAGTTTTCATCAACTGCCAAGAAAAAAATGACACAAAATTAGACAATGCATCATCAAAACAGATCCACTATTAATTATTTCTTCCCAAATTGGTTGTGGCAAAAACTTCATTTTCTGTTCTGATTATTTCTTAGTTGTAAAAGCTTTATGTTTAGTTCATGAATGACAGCTCTGCTATCACACAACACGTTTGTTCGGCTGGAACAAGCTGAATACTGTCTGCTGAAACACCACAGAGGAGGTGAGATTCAAGATCTTTCTTATGTATTTGTAATATTATCACAAAATTAAAGACTCGAGGGGGAAGTCCAATCGGAATAAACCCAGCAAAACCACACTGCCATACTACGAAAAGGCAGTAAACCATGTTTTCAAAACATTATGCAATGGAGGGTAATTAGCCACCTTAACACTTCCTCCTACACACTCTGTGATTTACTATAGCTAAGTGACTTGAGATGACCCAAGGCGTTAGTGGCACAGCAATGTATATACATTACAAGTTGCCACAGGCACACTCTGCCCAGTAAAGGAGATTTCTCTCTCCTTCACCCTACGTGGCAGCAACTTCATTCACAACAAACTAAGAGGGAATGATATCATCCATTTAAACATGATTTTCCCGGTGAATTCTGATTACACCTGCCTCCACTGAGGTAGAAACCAAGCTTACACTTACCTCCTTACTACACTTACTACCCACTCTTCTTGTATTACGATGTGAAATTTCATATGGAAAAATTGTTAGTTAAGGCAGTGTTGATGTGACCAAAATAGCGAAATAGATGTGATCTGGAAGACTCCAGAAACACAGCAAGTTATGCTCCTTCAGTAAATAACAGATTCCTCAGAATTTGCTTACCAAGTTTCAGCAAAAAAATAGGGTTAATAATGGAAATGCCAACAGGCTGTCAGAAGACATTCCTCCCATCAAAAATCTATTCTATTCACTGTTTCTGCAAATACTGTATGGTATAGTCAAAATATAATCAAATAGCCTCAGTGCTTACTAATGTGCATAGGGAAGGTCATGGTTAAGGTTAAAGCTGTGTTTAAACCAATGGAGTTACACAGATGGCATCCAGATAAGGATATCTAAATTGTCCCACAAACACACACTGTACTGTGGCATTTCAGATGAACACTGAAATTTAGAAATAAGACTGAAAATTTATATGTTAATAACAAGAAGTTATTGCAAATAGCTTTAAATGACATGAATTTATGTCTCATTTTTTTTTCCATTGGAAGGCATTAAAGAAAGAAAGAAGGAGTTTACTGTAAATTGGAACCCTAGGGACTAGTAATTAGACAATATTTTCATAAACAAGGGTGCATACATTATTGAAGAAATATTGTTGCACAACAAAACTCTTTGCTCACAGAGTGTTAATTTAGAAACAATATTGGATGATAACAAGGCTGATGATTTAAAAAAATACAATAATTAGATGTGTCCGATTCCCATGCCACCATTTACCAAATCTAAGTGGAAACACAGTTCACATTAGGAAGAACATCATTAAAATTCCTCTCATAAAAGGCTTCACTCCTATTTATAATCATGTTGCAAAGAGAATGAAAAGATGCTATTTTTGTACGTTTGTTCATCTCATACGTTGGTTTTATACGTATGAGAAACAATTTCTTTTGCAAACCTAAACTCAGCACTCGTCTGAAAAATTTAGAGTTAGATATGCTCTTTCAGCGTATTGTCTAGTTTCATATCTACATTTTCTCACCACTGTCATCATCATCAGTGTCCCGGTATTTCAGGTACCCAGCTATTTCCATAGAACTCTTTTTAACGTTCTGGGCACACGTAAGTAGGTATGTCATCGTTTGTTGTTCTAGTTGAGACACATAGGTGAAGCCAGAGGACATTGTTTTATATTTTCTAGTGTTTGGTTTAAACAAGTCAATTCCCAACTTTTTGAGACAGATTGCCTTAAATCTTCGTGGTCAAGAGCTACCGCACCTGAACCCACTCATAATGAACCAAAAATACTATCAATGGATATCGAGCTATGAACCTCTTGCTAGAGCCTCACAGATCAAAACTTATCCAAGGTTACTCTGGGAGGATCATTAGTTTATGTCCTGCTGACAAGAGGATGAGATGGATTATTATTGGACCAGATACAGTATTTTTCTTGAATAGAGATAAATATTATTTTTTTCAGTCTGCCAATGAGTACAGATACTGCATTAAAATGAGGTGGTTTTTAGCAGGTTAAACCCGCTTTCTACAATGTATAAGTAATGTTGCTCTCTCAGCTCTATGTTTACCAGTTCTTCTCCTTACACCCTTTTCAAACTGCAGGAAAGTCCCTCCTGGCTGGTGTATCGCGACATCCATGCAGCTCCCCAAGATATGAAACGGGGAAGATGAACATGTCCTCGCAGGGGTGTCTCTGAAATCAGGCTGCAGAGCAGAAGCTTTCCTAACACGTCTGGCACTTGAGGGGGCACAGGATACCCAGAGCATTGATTTAGGAAAGCAGTTAAAAATACGTTAAAAGTTTATTATTAGTGAGAAAAATGCCTAGAACCAAGTTCAAAGTATATTATGATCACTGGAAATGTTTGCATTGGCCTCAGTAAACTTCTCATCATCTCTTTAACTGCAAGCATGTGATTACCTTCTGAGTCAAAGAACCTTTCGTGAATTAGGGCCTCTGCAGTAGACTTCACTGGGGCTCTTTTGATACCAGTATGGATATAGTAATGTAGTTAAATGTTTATATGTGAATACAATACTGAAAACAAACGTATTTCATATTTGCTTTTCTCAGATCCATTTCCTATAAACGGCACAATAAGTCACCTGAAATGTCACAGTGTTTTCTTTGCATTTTGTAGAAACTGTCAAAGACAATTGATGATAACAGTCAGTCAGGGCTTTATTAACAACCAGCAGGACTGTAAAACACTTTCACAATTACGTTCACTAACAGTTCTTATTTGACAGTTCCTATTTATTTGTCACCACCAATTATTTACCCTGCTAGCACAGTGGAAAAAGATTGCATGCACCCTTTGAAGCAGCTCCGCAAAACTGGTCTCTTGAAGGTCCAATTCCTCCATTTTGATGAAAAGGTGTATTAAACATAGGTCTAAGTGCCATCTACACTTAGAGGAGGCAAAAGGGCTCTCAGTCAATGCCTTTCAGGTCAGGGCTATTCTTTAACCCTCTATGGAGATCTCTCTATTTCTTCTGCTGCGGGTCAAACCAGAAACTACCTCCTCCTTGAGCCTGGAGACTATCAGACAGAGACTGTCAATCTGGCATTGAATGCCACCTAGGATGTTTGCTGGGTATCGCTCTAGTTTTCTACGTTGGGCTGTTTCACCCTCAAATAAACCTGTTCAACTGGTAACATATAGAGTGCTCTTCAATTCAGAATTTTCTGCATTATCATCAGGCATACATCACATCATAAACACAGCTGACCATGAAGAGCAACACAAGACTTCAGCGGTGCTTGGAGTCTGGCTTGTCCAAAGATAGGAGTTTTGAAATCCAGTTAAATGGACTTCAAAATTAACACTCCTATTTCCTAAGAAATTTATGATCCAGGTTAGTTATTTCAAAGACAAGGTTTTACTCAAATGTCCATCTCGAACTATTTCTGGGGATATCTATCAACCATTTTAACAGCTTCCTATACAGCATGAATACATCATGTAAATATTTTGGACTGTAAGACAACCCTGACTTCTGCATACAAGACACACCAAGTGTTCCCATTGACTGAAAGAAGAATCTTGAATGCACTTTTAAAAGAAGAAAATGGTACTATAAATTTCATCTTCCTAAACATTTCTATTAAAATAATCTGACACTGAGAAAATCCCTCCCTCTCAGAAATACTTGACATATTGCAACGCAATGCTGCTGAAACATGGCCCTGGGAACACTCTTTTCTCCTCCTTCCTCAGTGTTTGTGATAAATAACATGAAAGAACAGCGTTTTTCTAAGAGCGTTGGCAGTGAAGTAGCTAACAAGACTCACAATAATGCACAGTATTTAAAAAAAAAATAAAGTTGACTCTTGAAGTTGAGTTATTGTTCCATTTTACACTCAGGAAAGAAATTACAAAGTTCTAAGAATAGTTTCAGGGATATAAGACTTACTGCTACCCAACCATCAATGTTCTGCCTACTAGCAGCAGAACCTAATTAGAATCCAATAAGCTCTAAATAAATTAAGTGTTTTGACACACAGAAAACCAGAAGGTGAGAGAGCACAGCCAAAGCTCACAACTGGCCAGCTCTCAGCTACAGTCGCAAATTTTGTTCTTGTATGAAAAGTGGAAAAACATTCTGGTTTAAAGCTGCATTTTTTCCCCAAAGATATTTCTAACCCGACCAACCTGTCTTTCTGCAATGAGAATCTAAAATTCACTTTATTTTATTGCTCTTGACAGTAATTATGCCAATTGAGTTTCTACTTGTCTAATCTTTGTGCTAAGAAATATAGGCCACAAAATCTCTACCAAAATAAATGTGTGACTCAGTACACAATTGCTCAATAAAAAAGAATGGTGATTCATGCAGTATAAATACACTGAAAATTCAGCACACAGAAAATGATTCACGCACTTCAAGTCCAAACATATTATCTTTATATTTGAAGAGAAAGAGGGCAGAAATATTTCTTTAGCACAACGCACACCTATGTCTGTGGTGATACGGAGCAAGATTAAAAACAACAACAACCACCAAAACAACAGGGTCGCCTATTTGAAGATAAAGCAACAAGATTAACAAGGCTGGCAGATTTAAAACTATACCAACAGGACTTTTTTCCCTCCTCTCTCCTGGCCAACAAAGTAATTCCAGTGGTTTCTGTTGAGTTATCGCCAATTTTCACAACTATGAATACAGAATTGGTCTCTGTATAGTTTATTCTGATTACCCAAACCCACTAAAATATAGGAGAATTCTGATGGCTAAGTCAGAGTCAAATCTGAAATGAGAAACCACTGCAACATTCACCACTCAAACATATACGGAAGCAAAATGATGACACGTTATGGGTAAATACTCCCTCTGTCATGTAGTGTCACCTGTTTAAGGTTAGATGATGCACAGATTAAAACTCTGGGATTTTAATAGATTGCCACTTTTAATAATAGATTAAAACTGAAAAAAAATATTTTTAATAGATTGCAGACACCTTTTAACAAGAACTCAGGTTGCATAAGAGCTCAAAAACCTGTACCCATCCACCCTCCATCCAGGTCACACAACAGCCTCTCTGCCTACCTGCCTCATTTCCTTGTAGTTGTGATGCTTAAAGTCCAGATTATCTGTGGTTGTCATTTCATTTCTTCTGTGGTAATAATTATTTGGATCTGAGAAAAGAAATAAAAGAAGTTTCATATGTTTATGAATTTCAAATATAAAGATGCTTAGAGCCATAATGCATGCAAAGAATGTGGAAATCTGAATTACACTGTCCTATATGTATTTAAAACAGGTTTTTAAAAGCAAAACTCAATGAAACAACAAATTTGAAATATTTCTAATTACTGCACAAATCAGTTCATATAGATCCAAACAGAAGCAAGGAGACAGCAGGCATCAGCTTGCTAGACAGCTTCTCTGCACGGACAACTAACTTCAACAGAAAAGCAGAAGAGCATCCTAAGGCTACAGAGGAGGCAAAAGGCACTGGAAAATGATGAGTCAGATGAAAGATAAAAGAGTGGAAAAAAAAATCACATCAGGGGAAAAAGCCCCAGCAAATGGTTTGTGTCTACCTGATTAATTTACTGTTACAAGGAATTATCTTTTAGTTTTCTTGATGAGTATTTTCAGAGTCTCTGCACTGCTTGCAAAATACAGAAAGGATCTATTGTGCATATGAAACATTTCTGATTATTTTCCTAAACATTTTTTGCGGAAGTTGGAGGTCTTTGTTACTTTAAAATTAGCATACTCATTTCTATATGGATATAATTTATGGCTTGTGTATTTTGAAGTATCAAAGGAGAATATGTGGATAGAACGAAAAACTTTGTTTCCTTGACTTTCCAGGCTATTCACTTGGGAAAAAAAAAACAAACCAGGCCAAGACTGTTAGGGCTCAGCTTTATATTTCCTGATATATATACTTCTATAACTAATCTATTATGATTTATTTTTAGAGACAAACAAGTATATTTGGAAAACACTAGACATGTTCCTTCATTTTCCATATCTGGGACGTCTGGAATTTTGAGTAATCATTTGTCAAACCAGTGGCTGTCAGGCTGTTATGATAAATTGTTTCCCTTTGCACAAAATCATCTTCATTTGGTTTAAAATTACTGGAAAAAAAGCCAAATATGAAAGCCTAAATATCATCCTGTCTTACTGTGACACAGCCAAAAGACACTGTCTCTAGAGAAAAAAAATTATTTTGTTAAACAGTATCACCTATCAGTTGTGATTTTTTTTGCAAAAAAAACCCCAAAAAACCATAATTATGAGTAGGAAGAATATGTAGATACTATCCTGCAACAACAAACACTTAATGAAATGATGGAAAACTCATAATACTTAGAAATATAACAACATTTTTAAGCTTCATATTTCTGACATTAAACCCTCAAAATTGTCAAGTTTATTCTTCCCATAAAATTCTAAAGGTATATGGGTTTTTTTCTTATGTGGAAGGAAAGCAAAATTTGAACTATTAAGTTATTTATGGAACGAAACATGCAAGTTCCACTAAGCTTCACTATACCATTACACATGTTCTCTACCACTTATTTACTCTTCACTCACATACTCCTATTCCCTAATCTAAAGAAGAAACACTGGAAGGTCAGTCGAACGCCACTCTAGAAATATGACTGAAAAACGTCAAAAATTGACTCAACAAACTCTGGTTGTTCAATGCAAGTCTGTCCATTCTAGTGAGAACTTAGTCTATAGCAAGGCCACCCGGAAATCGATTCGAATTAAAGCCTAATCAGGTGAGAAAACAAGATTTCTTTGCTTGCTAAAAAAAAAAAAAAAAGTTTTGAAGAATCAAGAGAGTTAAGTTTCACATAATTCACCTCCATTATTAGGTCTTCTTTCCAACCTAACTGCAGGCTAAATTAATTGACCCAAGTCTGCTGACAGCAACAATGCTGTATTAACCCTGCAGATGACTCTAGAATGCCAAACTCTTAAAGGTCAACCCATGTTAATTCAGAGAAATTATTCATTAATATATTGATGACTGAGAGATGGAAATCATAAAAACCCCCACCTCTTCTAGAAAGAGACAATGTACTTAATGCCACACAGAATCTCTTCACCATTGTAAAAATACTTCTCTGTTGTAAAAATATAAATATAAACACCATAATACTGCCAGGATGTTGAAGGCTTTCTCTATCACCACAAGCCAAAATATACAGCAACTGATTTTTTCTCCTAATACTTTAATCCCATTGCTTTCAAAGTCTGGCACTTTTTTCATATATCAAACATTAATATCATGGAAATGACTGTGAATGTTGTAGAGTTGGTGGAAACTTAAAAAATCGTACAGTGAGAATGACTGTATCTCTGGTCTGTCCTCAAAAATAGCGCACGATTTGACAGCTCCCTACAGAATTAACACTCATATTTTGCCAGGCTGTACTGGGCGTGTGCTTGGATCATTGGATTTCTGCTGCAGCA